ACAAGTAAGACTTGTCCCATTACAAGAACTGCGGCCCCACAATATATTGGTGCCCTTAAAAATAACCAAATTTCGATATTCTGATTTATAGATGAAGACTGGAACTCTGATTGCCTAAGTCTGAGGGAGACCATGGAGAACATGGTTAGTGTAGAAAGAATCTTTTCACTAATGGAAAAGAATCTGCATATGTCTTACAACTGACAGCAGAGTACTTCAACATTAAAAGTCTCATGTAATACATGGGAGGCTGAGATCAGGAGGATCACAGTTCAAGGCCAGCCTGGGCCAATAGTTTGTGAGACCCCCCCATCTCCAAAATAACCAGAGCAAAATGGACTGGAGATGTGTCTCAAATGACAGAGTGCACGCTTTGCAACTGAAAAACCCAGAGTTCAAACCCAGTCTCACCAAAAAAACAAACAAAAAAACCAAAGTTCCAAGTAGCCCAGATAATAGTTCTTGATCTTTCAAGAGAATACAGTTCCTTTGCATTTAAATATTTCTATAAAGGATGCTAATTTCCTGAGGGGAAGTGCCTTGAAAGTTGGCTTAAAGGGTTCGCCTTTAAGAGTGGGGGTAGGGAGGTAACAGGTTCTCTGAAACAGTGGTGTATGGATAAAGATCAACAAATCATTTTTATTTGTGTCTAGTATCGAAGATCTGATTTGTGTCAGTTACACTAATACAAATACCACCAATCATTTTCAAAAGTGAAGTAAAACAGTAGGTATCTACCCCCCCTAACACACACAAACATTCTTCTTAATGAGTATAAAATAGTGGTGACAACAAAATACATTAATTTGGAAACAGGACTATACATTTTAGGAAAGATTCCAGGACAGGATTTTCTACAGTAATAAACAGACTGTGCCCTTTCCCTGATTCAGCAAGTTTCAAGTTTCCACTGCAAAGAAATACCTCAGTACAATACAGGAAAACATTTTGGAATGCAATTTCAGGAAGGTGAAGAAAGGGCTAAGTTTCTTTCAATCCCCACTCCTTCTCCTACAGCCACACATAGCTCTAGATTTCTTTGTGTTGTCGTTTCACATACCTGCTCCAGTTCATAGGCCTTTGCTTTATCCTCATCTCGGTCAGCATTCTTCCGGTAGGCCAGACCCAAACCCCACACGGCCAAGATGCTGTACACATTATCTCGAACCCAGGCATCTTTCTGATCATAGCTGGCTGGAAGCAAACCAGTCACTGGATTCTGCAAGACCAAGAAAAAGAGGACAAGCAGCTAACCATATTGTTAAAGGAAACAAAACCTGTGGGAACAGGTTAATTGGGAATTTTGATCTTTCTTACACTTCTCCAGTCTCGCATTTTTTATAACCTCCTCTTGTTCTGACCAATGCTCTTTCCCCAGAAAACTGAGGTATAATTGACAATAAAAACTGTACATATTTAAGGTGTGCAACCTGATGATTACATATATGCTTTTATTGTGAAATAACTACAATCAAATTAGTTAACATATCCATCACCTCACATAGTTACCTTTCTTTGGTGTGGTGAGAATATATATGATTTACTCTCTTAATAATAAATACATTAAGTATTACTAACTACAGTTATTATTAGACCCCCAGAACAAACTCACTCATCTTGTAATGGAAAGTTTGTACTCTTTCCAGATGCTATTTGAGAATGAGGACAGAACTGGCTGAGACCTTACAAGGAAAACCTGTGGGCATTATTAAAATAAAGGTATCAGTAAATGATATTATTTAATGCATTGTTAAAGAGTATTATTAAAAGAAATATTTTAACTTTCCAGTTAGACTCAACAACCAATGAAAATCAGCAGCAAAGGAGGACAAAAAAATAGGCATGTTGGTGCACACCTGTAATCCCAGCAGTGGGGAGACTGAGGCAAGAGTATGAAAAATGGAGGCCAGCATGGGCTACATTTCAAGACCCTGTTTCAAAAACAAAAAGTATACAATGGTCTTAATGATCATCTTAAGATGGCTAAATGTTCCTCTACCTCTTGGGGGAAGGAGATAAAGTCCAAACCTGGGGGCGAAGAGTGTCAATAAACAAGTGTCAACGTATCTTGCAACTGTGGCCCCGTAACCCAGCTGTGGCTTGTGGGGTGCGGAAGTCGTGGCTGTGGGGTGCCTGAGTCTGGTTCGGTTCCAGGGGCAACACTGACTTTCCTTCATGTCCTTTCTGGCCTCCCCCATCAGGTGCAGATGAACCTGTCCCCTCCCCCAGGAGAGGTCACATGGGGTCTCTGTCATGTCTGCCTCACTCCACGTTCCCCAGCTAGGGGGCAGGAGAAGCACAAACACACGCATGAGAGTTCACCCAAGGTCTCCGTCCAGTCTACCACTCCCCCAATTCTCGACGATTCTAGGGGTCGCCGTCCACCCACCTGATGGCACAGGATGGTCTGATGCACCAGCCGAGCGTAGCCATCAAGACGGACCCCCGAGTTACTCCGGCTCCTCATGGCGCCGGGTTTGGAATCCCCTTAGAAAAAACGGCGCGGGTTCCTCAGAGGCCGACGTCCCCTATGGAAAGAGGCTCCAACGCAGCTGCACGTCTCTTGGGAAGTCCGATGCCAGGCCCGACACAGCCTTCCCACTGCTAGGCTCTGGGGCCCGCGGGTCCGCCTAGCGCTCCCGGCTCCAGCGACCTCCGGAGGCCACAGCACGCCAGCACTGGCCGAGCGTCCTGTGGTCTAGGGCCCTTCCACAGCGGCCGCTGGCTGCCGCCCTTAGTCCCGCATGGCCTCCGTGGGGGACTCCAGCATCCTTCGCTCAACCCCAGGAGACCGCCGCGGTCCGGAGCTTGCAGCCCTGCCACAGACAGCGGGTCACCCTCCGCGGCACCGCCTCCACCTTGCTGGAGCCGCGAGCAGGGGGGCGGAGCGTACGCCGTCCTGGCGGCTGCGCGCTGCGACCCGGGGCCTCGGCCGCTGGCCCGCCCCGCGCCGGAGAATGTGTCACCGTAGGCAATGTGCTCTCGTAGGTTTATTTTCGAAACACTTCAAGTGACTATTTTAATTTTCCACACTTGCTGTGCACACACACAGGACGTCGAGGAGGCCGTTTCTCTTTTCTTCCGCGGGACTGGTTTTAGGAACCTACGGGGAAGTTCAAAACTGAAAGGAAACACACGTTTGAGCTTAAGAGCTAACGAACTGGATTTCCGGATCTTGGTTACATTTTAAATTTTGACCAAAAGTTCAAATTAAACTCCACACTCCGACTGAAACCAAACTAGATCGAACTCCCCGGAATACTTTATTTCTTAGAAACACACGGGCCAGTGGCAGCCTTGGAAGAAGCAAACGTGGCAGCAGGGAACTTGGGCTGGGACGAGCAAGCACCCTTGGGCGGCCTTCACCGAGAGCTACAGATAGTGGAACTGCTTTGGAAAGCTCCCTCGTGCGCACATAAGTCACGAGGCTGAGGCGACAAAGACTCAGCTGAAAATAAAAGGGGAAAGGAAGCCTGGGAAAGGAACATACAGATCCCTGACTTCAGCAGAAGCGGGGCCCCAGGGCCTTTGCTTCCTCAGTCTACTGTTCCCACCCCCACCTCTCGCTTTCTGCGTGTCCAAATCCTGCATGCTTCTTAAGGATCAGCTGAAGTACCACCTGCTCTCCGAATGGCAGGGTGAGGAAATTAGACCCGTTCATCTTTCAAGTTCTAAGCTGTCCCTAGCCATATTACCCAGGCCACAGTGATTTTGCATTTTCGTTATCTTTTTATTTCTCTTTCATCTCTCCTTACAAGCTCCCTCCATTCCACCACCACGACCCCTCCCCTGCCCAATTTGGTGACTACCAAATATTAGATAGTGATGACGAAGAAGGAGGGAATGCTCAAGAACTCGATCTGGGACTTCGAGGTGATATCTTTCAATACAGTGACACAGAATTCTCAGGGAAATGCTTTCTTATTGCAGTCACTACCTGTGCAAGTGCAATGACTGGCAAATAGAAAATCACTTCAAGGCCTGGGTGCACAGACCCTATCTCGAAAATATCCCACACAAAGCAAGGCTGGTGGAGTGAGTGGCTCAAGTGGTAGAGTGCCTACTTAGCAAGCAGGAAGCTTTGAGTTCAAACCCCAGTACCACCACCAAAAGTAAAAGTAAAAAAATATATTAAAACAATACACACTCACCAAAAAAACCTTGGAAAGTACAGAAAAAGTAAAACAAAGGAAATATTTAAATTACCCATAAGCCCTTCACATAACCACCTATTAATATTTTAAAGAATTTCTCTAGGCTTTTTATTCCTTCTGCCTAGGCCTCCCCCACCCCAAAGTTGCTTAGAAGTATGACTTAGATTAGGTATGCCAAAGGCCCCTTCACTAAGAAAGATTCACTAAGAAAGCTGACTAACAAGAAGCTATGCTGGATGGCATTGCCTTGGTGCTTTCAACCTCAGTCCAATCTGGACCTTCTGTCTTGCAGTCTCAGAAACTTGATATACCCCATGTCCCAGAACTGGTCAGACTCAGGAGGCTGACTCATGCTGATTACCACATCAGAGCCTGATGCATGGAAACCAGGATGCTTGTTGTAACAGGAACTAGAACTACAACACAGTTTACATTGGCCTCACAACTATATTCTCTCCATGTTTAACATATTAGTAAATATGTTAAGCCTCATTAGTGCAATTTTATTTTATGCAATAACCCTATTAAACAAATACTGCTATTAAATCCATCTTATAGAAGGAGGATCCTAAGGTGCATGGAGATCAAGTAACTGACCAGTGTGCTTTCATTGGTTTCATTACTCTTCCTTATCTGTGCACTGACACATTCTTTCTTTAGATATACCAAAATTGTCAATCAGGTTATAGTCAAGCTTTGTCAGTACGGAAGTCATTGTGCTTCTTTTTTAAATTATTGACATGTAAAAATTGAACATACTTATGGGGTACAATGTGCTAGGTTTTTTTTTAAATTTATGTTTTTGGTGATACTGGGGTTTGACTCAGGGCCTTGCACTTGCCACTTGAGCCATGCTCACAGCCCCCATGTGCTATTTTAATACATGTATGCATTTTGAAATAGTCAAATCAGGGTAAGCATATCTGTCTCCTCAAACATTTATCATTTATTTGTGGTTAAAGAAAATTCAAACTCCTTTCTTCTAGACTTTTTGAAATATGCAGTACATGTCACCTTATAGTGCAATTAAACATCAGAAATGCTTCTTCCTGTCTAACTGTGACTTAGTACCCACTGACCAGACTTTCTTCATCCTTCCCTTTCCATACTCTGTTAAGTGGAATATCATGTGGTACTTGTCTTTCTGTGCCTGACTTACTTCACTTCACATAGTATCCTCTAGCTCCATCCATGTTGTTGTACATGACAGGATTTCAGCCTTTTTAGGAAGAACGGTACTGTGGGTGTGTGTCACATTTTATTTATCCATTCATCAGTCTATGGACTGATTTGTTTTCAGTTCTTGGCTATTGTGAATAGTGCTAAAATAAACATGGGACAGATGTCTCTTTAACAGACTGATTTCATTTCCTTTGGATATATACTGGTATAGTGCTGACACTGGTTCATATGGTAGCTGTATTTTTAATTTTTTGAGGAACATCCACATTGTTTCAAATAATGGCTTGTTAACTTATCATATTATTATTATTCTCACCCCAGTGTACAAGGGATTCCTTTTCTCTCACATCCTTGTGAGTTCAGTATGTTCCTTGAAGGTGATTTTCTGTTTGTCATTCTATACTTCAGATGATTGTCTAACTCTGAAATAAAATGTTATTTCCAAGTTTCTAGGAACACTTTATTATTGTTCCCTTAATGTACTTAGACCTTTTAGACATACGAATTTTTTAAAACTTTACATTTCATAAGTATTTTCCATGGTTTTATCATCTGTATTAATCTTCTCTCCAGCATGTTCTACAGCTTGCTTAACTCTCTGTTAATTAATTAATAGTAATTTTTATTAAATTTCTTTATGCTATTTCTTTATCTTCTTTCTTCTTTTGGCAATACTGGAGTTTGAACTGAAAGCCTCATGCATGCTAGGCAGGTGTGACTCTACCACTTGAGCCACTCCACCAGCCCTTTTTTGTGATGGCTTTTTTCGAGATGGGGTTTCATGAACTATTTGCCCAGGCTGGCTTTGAACCATGATCCTCCTGATCTCTGCTTCTTGAGTAGCTAGGATTACAGGTGTGAGCCGCCGGTTCCCACCTGAAATTATTTTTAAAATTATACATATAATATAAAAATACATTCTCCATGAAAATTGCAATGGTGCAGATAAGTTTAAAGTTTCTGTGTCTAGTGCCTCCTATCACAGTTCCCTTATCATTATTGGATTGGTTTGTATCCATCCAAATTGTTTTCTATGAATTTACACATATATGTAGATGTGTATATAAAATATATAGTGTTGTTTTCTCTGTATTCTTTTAATATAAGCCATACTGTACTGTATCGGCATTTTGCCTTCTTCTCACAAAGTTGTGTCCTGGAGACCTACTCCTGTTATTGTGTAGAGATCTACTTCAAGCCCCATGTTTATGTAAACATGCCTCTGTTGAGCCTTTACTTTGTTTTCAAGTCAGAACTCTCAGAAATGGTACTTCAGTGAACATATATACAGGTTTTCTCGTGATGCATATAGGTGTTTTGAGAATAGGTATTGAAAATTTTAAAAGAATAAAAAAAAAACCATTAAACTATCTTCATCAACCACCAGAATAGAGAGTTCCTTTGCCCTCTATTCTCACCAGTAACTGATATTACTGAACTTTAATTTTTACCAATCTGGTGTGTGCGAAGTGTTATTGTATTTTCATTTTCATATCCCTGGATACTAATGTCATTGATTTTATTTGTGTTTGTTTTATTTATTTTATTGACTTATTTTGTTAGTTCATTTAATTTCCTCTTCTGATGAATTAACTGTTCAAATACTTAGTTGTTTTTCTGTTGGGTTGTTTGTTCTTTTCTTATTAAGAGATAGGAATTTTTTTAAGTTACATATTCTAGGCTGGGAAAGATGGCTAACACTTGTAAAAGCCCAGCTACTTGGGAAGTGGAGATCCTAAGGATCATGGTTCATCCAAGGCCCACTTGAGCAAAAAGTTAGCGAGATCTCATTTCTATCAATAAAATTGGGCATGGTGGCACACATCTGTCATCCCAGCTACATGGGAGGCAAAGGGAGTCCAGGCCAGCTGGGGAAAAGTGCAAGACCCTATTTGAAAAATAACTAAAGCAAAAAGGGCTGGAAGCGTGGCTCAAGTGGTAGAACATCCCCCAAAATGATATATTCTAGATTTTATCTCTTTTCTAAAAGAAATCTAAAAGCTATATTGCACATATTTTCCCATACATGGGTTTTCTATTATCATTGTATATTCTTTTTTTCATATAGCTTTTATTTTTAATGAAGATAAATTTATGACTCTTTGTCCTTTTGTCTTATTTTAGGTCTTTTGTAGTGGATTGGAATGACTCCCTTCCAATGACATGTCCAATTGGAAGCTGTGAATGTGACCTTATTTGGAAAAATCAAAGGTCTTTGCACATGGAATTAAGTTAAAGATCTGGAGAGGAGATCTGGTAAGATTTTTCTGAATGAGTCCTAAAGCTAATCATTAATGTCCTTATAAGAAAAGGAGATGACATACAAGGAGAAGGCAGTGAGGTGAAGAACCAGGCAGAGATTAAAAAAATACTTATTCAGACCTTCAATTATTTATTTCAGCAAATCTTATACTTTTCATTGTGAAAGCCTCATATTTTTTGGCAGTACTGAGGTTCGAACTCGGGGCCTTGTGCTTGCTAGGCAGGAGCTCTACCTCATATTCCATGCCACTAGTCCTTTTTGCTTTAGTTATTTTTTTGGATAGGATCTCAT